AAGGTTATGGTTTCCTATCTGAAACCTACTAGCTCCATGTAAATAGGAAATGTTATCTCCATTACCTTAGTTGGACAGACGGTTGTAACGCTTTTTAGTGCTGATCCCTACACAGGTATTTATTAAATTCAATTAACTGTAATTAAATTAAATGTACTAGACTACCTAATACAGCACAATACTTAAGTAAGTTGCACTATAAAACAGTCTTGGAGAAATATCACTGATTTATTCTACAATTAAACGGTGTAAAGGTTCAAACTGCATGTAAAATGCAGTAAAGCTCATACTTAACCATAGGCAAATGCTGTCATGAACAATTCAGATTTAGCTAATGCTCTTTTTATTTGTTAGGAGTGAAATGCAGTTGGCAGAAGGAGCTGTTGAGGTGTTTTGTCCAGCTTTCTACTAGCAGAGACCTTGTGTTCAAGAGGAAGGCTCTACCAGTCTTATTGGTATATTATAAGGCTGCTTTAGTAAGTGACTTAAGGATATTGAGTCTGTACCTTGTATTTTTCTTTTCGTCTCCTATGTGAAGGATGTAGTTTGTGTAACCTACCCAAGGTAGGGTAGAAACATTACTTGTGGAGAAAAAACACTATATACTTACATTAACACAAGGAGGTACCAACATAGAACAGCAGTCTTTTGTAGGCTCCATTAATCCACTTTACTCTGTTTCTCCAAGCACCTTTTTCTTCTGGTAACTTTCTGCTACAAAACTGTTATGAATTCTCCCTAGAAATATGAAACATGGACAAGACTTTACTCTCAATAGAATGAGAAGAGCTATAAATGTTCAAGAATTACTAAGTAATTAAATCTCTACCTATTTTTACCTTAACGGTAGCATATTTATGGAAAGATGTACTACTGACACAGGAACACAACCATTTTAGAGAATAATCTAAAAAAAGAAAAACTGGAAAACTAGTTTAATGGAAGCATCTGGCTGGTAGAGCACCTATGACAAATGCAGTCTTCTTTTGCCCTCTAGCCTATCGTGTTGACTCTGGAGTAGATGGGCTGACAAACACTTTCTGCACTATATGCTCTTAGAAGTAAAATCTCTTCTGACTGCTGCCTGGGACAAGGAGAATGAGAAAACATTTTATTTGGTAGAAAGCAAGATAAAGGTGCTGCCGGTTATATTTTTGACTCACTTGGACATTATGGTTGCTGGCCAAAGTAAATCCTAGGAGGAGAACAAGTATTTCAGCTCTCACTGGGATTACACATGTACCATGCGGGAGGGTATCCTTGGTAGAAAGCTGTAGAAGACCTTACAATAGGCCAATCTTCATGTTGGAGAAAGTGCTTTGTCATAACATGTCTTCATGGGAGAGGTGTATATGTAAAGAATCATGTCATGCATTTTTATCAATGATTTATCCATTTTTTATATATGAGCATGATATTCTAAAACTATCTGACTGCCTGACACAGAAACCATCAACCCTGAAAGCTTAATGTTTGACAATGCAATCTGTAGTAGTCATGGTCTAGCCACCTGCTAAACCAATCTACTCCCTTCTCTTTTGCCAAAATGGACCCGTTAAACACTAGAAAATGTCTATGTGAGAACATGGTGGCATTCATATGTTGTCTATACTCTTTAATTAAAATATTTGCTAGATCTTTTTAGGCTTAGGCTATATTGTGAGAATTTTTTCAGAAATGTGTGGTGCTTACAGGATTTTATTTGCCTAGTTGGGTGAGGCAGGGTCTAATTTAGCTTCTCTTTTCTGGCTCACACTGACGTTTTATTTCAGCCCTGTGTCTTTGAGAGCCTTGGTGAAAGCACAAGACAGCAGCATAGGCCGTAATGCAGAACGACTCTCCTGACAGCCCTGCAGAAGAACTATTAATGTAGGTTAAAGCCTGGAGTAATAAAAGTATGAAATAGTCTCCATCACAGTGAGAGGGAAAGAGGGTACATGTTGTCATGTTCTTCTGAAACATCTTGAGACTCACAAAAAATCTCAGATTGGAAGAGCTCTTTCCTTGTCAGAGAATAAACAGCAGGATCTGGCTCACAGGAATGTGTCTTGTCATGCAACTGAGGAAAGTAAACAATTTGCTTTAGACGGCAGAAATCAAATATATTTTTAAAATATTTTAAACCAAAAATATGTACTATTTTATTGCCAAGAGATTAAACTGAATTTGATGAAAACTGCAGCACAGAGTACAGGATGAAAAGAGAGCTTTAGAAAAATAAAATCCTATTTTATTTAGAAAAATAAAATCCAAAAATATCTGTCTTCCTCATGATTCAAGATCAAGAGTTTGAGTCTTTTAGGGAACACCTCTGAATTTGCTAGGATTGATTTTGTGTTATTCCATTTATAGTTCAGTCTTTTTGGCTGCACATAGTGTTGCCTAACACAAATTGTATAAAATTATCTGGAAGAAGAAAAAAATGCTATGAAAATCATGTAAAGTTCTGCTGCATTTACAAATACTGCTTTGCAACCACTCCCTTTGGAAAACAATCTCTATTTTTAATGGATTTTCTATTTGATGGAACAGATTGTAAATATAATTTATTATTTTTATTATACAAAAAGTATAACAAAGTACATATACAGTATAATGAAGAAAATTTACTCTTCGAGTGATGTGACATTTCTATTGCATCCTTCCAAACATTCAAGTCCTTGTCAATGACACATCAGTTGTATAGGAAGGTCAGAAAGATGTGGGTATTAAAGTTTAATTTGTTCAGTGCAGATGAAGGTGTTTATTACTAATCCTTTCTGATATTTTGGTGGGCATGACTACATCTCAACAGTATACTTTCCTTAAAATCTACATTATTCAATCTATTTACCATGTATCAAACACTTTCCAATAAATCCATTACGCTGAAAAAAAAAATGACTTGTGAAGGTCACTCTTCTGACGTCCTTTTAAATCTGTTTCTCTGGTTAGGTCAAAACAGACATAATGTGAGCCAGTAGCCCCCTCAGTGCTTCAGGAAGGAAGGACACGTTGCTGCCAGAGTCCTTCCATGCCTCAGTGAGGCAGGTCTGGGATGTCTGTGCTAAAATTAATCCCAAGTTGAAAGCAGAGCAGAAAGGGCTACATTGTTTTTTTGCTACCTGGCAGAGACCTTCCAAAGCTGTGAAGATGATAAGGATGGAGAATCACTTAAAAATGAAATTGGATGCTGAAATAGTCCAGGTACAAAATGATTTATAACCTCTGTCTTCCCCAAGGGAGCTAAACAAATGCTTCTTTTGGCGCTTCTATATCATTTGGGCAGTCCTTTATGTAGGGAATTAGTAGAACACTGGATCTGTTGGCTTCATCACTTGCCCTGAGCGTGTGGTGGTCCCACACATAGAGAGATATGAAACACATTTATCCTCATGTACGTAATGAGAAACCCAGCACGGCTGTACAGACCCACTACAGGAAAATCAGTCCTGAATTAAAATGTCATTCATCATATTAGTAATTCAGATTCAAGATGTCTAAGAAGGTTTCATCAGCCGCAGTGAGTGAGCAGGCATAGAAAAACTTGCTAGAAATTCTTCCAAAACGCCGCCACTTTTATCGTCTTCCAGCTCAGCTTAACCCTGAAGTGCAGGTTGACCTGAATTCAGTGAAGGGAAATGTCATTTTGACTTAGTCCAGACAGCCATCACCCTGCCTGCACCACGTCCAAACAGGCTGTGCTCGCCCAGGTTGGTGCTTTTCGTGGTCTCTGCAAGGCAGCAGCCCTCGCGAATAACCCTGCCCGGCGCCCGCACACGTGAGCTGTGACATAGCGGTGATGATAGATGTGGACAGCGTGCCTGCTCGGCGCGTGACGCTCCGCTTCCACCACGTGGGCAGCCTCTGCAGCCTTGTCCACACGCATTACTGCTGATCTCGGCCACGTGCCGCGGCGTCGCTTCAGCTGGGGAGCACGTGGCAGCCAGCTCCTTGAATTTACTAGCACACAGCGTAGTCTCCTGATACCAGGTCCTCCAATTATATGGTAGTTTCTGAAAAAAGTTGTCCATATTTTGAGAGACAATGCTGTCAAATTCTAGGCAAAATAATTGCTGGCAATATTATATGTGATTTATATATTCACATACGTGATTATGTCAAGCCCAGTGGCTTCCATCTGACTCTGCAAGCTGAATTGATGAAGCCTCTCCATAGCCCTGTGTGGAAAGTCTAACATTAATTAAAACATGCATTCACATCTTAAAAAAAAAAAAGCCAAAAGCAGATTGGTCTTCTCAGATGCTAATGAAAGTAAATGGGAAACATATCTGTGTACCATCTTGTTATCATGATCAAAGTTAAAAGCAGACAAAAACTTCTTGCTGGCTGTGCTCCACTCAACTCCTTTCCACTGGAAATCCATACCAATAACAAACCATTAGGATGAGCAAGTGTATGCAACTGAGATGCTAGAAAGATTAATTGTAAACCTCGGAATAAATGTGCAGAGTATGGTCTTTATATCCATTTAGAGTCCTCTTTCTTCAAACTAATTGATCAGTCTTTCTTAATTTAAAAATAAAGATGATGCATGTCACAGTGAGCATGAATTTTACAAGATGGTTTAATCATTATGTTTAAATTTATAAGGGAATATCTGTCACAGAAATACATTAATTAATTTGCTTTGAAGACTACTAGATGAGGGTGGCAGCAGATCATAGGGTATTTGTGAGAACATAAGCCTGCCAGTCCTTGTGATCAGAGTGATAAGGAATAGCTTTTTTTTTTTTTTTTTTTTTTTTTTTTTTTTTTTTTTTTTTTTTTTTATGTCTTTCCCTGAACAGCTTTCAGACCAGCACCTTCCACTCCAGCTGTTTTGGGTCAGTCACATTAGAAGTGAGTAATATTACCACTGACCCAAAACAGCTGAGAGGAAGGTGCTCCTTACTTAAAGCCCTTCCCAAGGTTACAACCCTTTCTGGCTTTTCAAGGCTGCTGCTTCTGGAGTTAATGTGGGGCTTCTTGGTAATGCAGTCATTGCTCCATGAGTGAGGTATTTTGCAGGCGTGTTTATAGCAGTTTCTTTGCAAAGTCTGACTCTGGAAGTTTAATTGCTCTTCAGTGAGAATTGATGCTCTCAGCTCATTATGGGAGCTAGTGTCTTGGCTGCTGCTCTTTTGTGTGGTATTATAAAACAGGGCTGCACGAGAGCTTTGGAAACACAAACATCTTGGCTCTGCTGAATTCCTGGGCAGAAGTAGGTAAGAATGAGTTGTAGTAGTTCTTGGGGCTGTTTTGCTGCCTTTGGGGCTGCAGGAGAGCTGGTTTTCAGCAGAGCTGTGTGTGACTTGCTGCAGGTTGGGGAGTCCCAGGTTGCCCTGACTGTTCCAGTCTTTCTTTGGAGCAGCTCTGCTGGGAGCTACTGTTGATGGAAGTCCCCCCAGGGTTATGGGGCTGCAGCTCTTGTGCTCCCAGGGTTTGGTTTTGGATTGGGAGTTCGGCAGAGATGCTTGTGGAAGGGATTTCTTTAATATTATTTTTCTCCTCCTAAATCTGATGTATTTAAAACAAATTGTGTTACAAAATAGGCTTTCTGGAGTTGCATATGGTTCTTGCTTAGAGTTATTTGTGCCTGTATTTTAAACATGCCTTAAATGTTATCAATCAGAGACCATATTCTGGGAAAAGTTCTTGTTCCAGAAATGCTGTAAGCTCCCCAAATAATTTACATCAGTATTCGTCTATCTTCTAGCCTGATTACTTATTTCAACATGTTCAGATTAACTTTGAATACGGGAGCTTATTTTTCTGAGTAACTAATCCTCTGGTCAAATTTTAGTACTTCTTCTTTGAAGGGGAGAGAAGTAGATAAACACAGCTCATACAAAACAGAAATCATTAAACATAAATTCTTGTTTCCCTCAAGTGATTTGATTTCCCCCTCCCCCAGTGATGCTTTATATGGCTGGAGAAGTTAAGGGAAAAATATATTCTGTCAACAGTTAAAAAATGTAATATCCTCTCTAAAAAGTCTTAAGACTTCTCTGTGCTTTAAGCAAGCAGAGAGAATACAAGTGTTGCTTTGATTTTCTTTTTAATTAATTTTTTGCTTTTATCAGAGCATTCCCTAGAGAGTTCTGGTACATTAAACTCCTTAAATCTGCCATTTGGAGTTAAAACTTGGAATGACAGGCGGTAGGGCTGAGCTCAGTGTAACTCTTAGCTTGATATAAAATGGCAAAGAAAAGTCTCTAAAGAGAAAAATCAAGAATGAATGGGAGATAAGAAACAACATCAAGAAAGGGTTAATTGGAAAAGATAAAGAATAATCACAGTACTGGAAAAGATGAGTGGGATTGGAATAAGGGAGAAGCTATGTGGGCAGTGAGAACACTTATGTGTATGGGAGCGTATCATCAGAAATGCGGTATTAGTGGATGAAAGCAGGCAGTTTGCTCAGTCAAACGCTGGTTTTGGTGTGTTGCAGAGGCAGTGTGCTTTGCTGTAAGGCAGAGTCACAGCTGTAATATGACTGCACCTTTGATAGTGCGTTATACCCCATCCTTAGGATTGCAGGAAGGAAAGCACATGCTTTCCCTGCTGTGCCATGGACAGAACATGCATCTGTCTGGAGGGATCTGTTGTTGCACAACTGCTCATCCCATCAAACAGGAGCAGCACACCTGTAAAAAGCAAACTCTTCCTGTGTAGGCACCTTAATGTGTGGAAAGAGCTGCTTTCAACTAATGCAGTGACTGTTTAATTCTTATCAAGCACTAATAAGGTGGTGAAGGAAGCCCTGAGCAGTGCAATTAAACTCAGGTGGCCCTAGAAGAGAGGGTCCCTGCTTATTTTCTAACTGTCCCCTATTTTTACTACTTGCATAATTACAAAGCCCTGTTGTAAATAGGCTATACTACCAGCAGTGCCCCTTTTTAGGGTAGAAGTTCAGAGCTTCATATGCAGTGTGATGAAGATGCAGCCATCAGATTGGCAGTTCTGCAACATAGTGTATTGGATTTTCTGCCACATCATTAGATTTCTATATTGAACTTCAAAGTGGGAGAGAGACAGCTGAAGCCTTCTGATTTGGGGACTTCCTATATATATGTATACATACATAATAAAGCAATTTTATTGACATATGTGCCTTATGCTATTTAGCATAATCAAGGTGTAGTTGTCTCCAAATTAAAGGTGACTCTACTTGAGATCGTTTTCATTACAGATGACATTAGTAGGGGCTACTAAAAGCAGATTATTTTTGCCCTGGTGGCCAAGAAGGTCAATGGGATCCTGGGGTGCATTAAGAAGAGTGTCTCCAGCAGGTCGAGAGAGGTGATCATCCCCCTCTACACAGCCCTGGTGAGGCCACATCTGGAGACTGTGTCCAGTTCTGGGCTCCCCAGTACAAGAGGGATGTGGAGCTGCTGGAGAGAGTCCAGCGCAGGGCTACCAGGATGATCAGGGGCCTGGAACATCTGCCCTGTGAGCAAAGACTGAGGGAGCTGGGCCTGTTCAGCCTGGAGAAGAGGAGGCTGAGGGGGGACCTGATCAGTGTGTATAAATACCTCAAGGGAGGCAGTGAGGAGGAGGGGGCGGCCTCTTTTCAGTGGTGGCAGCGACAGGACTAGAGGAAGCAGCTGCAAGCTGAGGCACCAAAAGTTCCACAGGAACTTAAGGAAACATTTCTTGACAGTGAGGGTGCCAGTCCTCCTGCCCAGAGAGGTTGTGGAGTCTCCTTCTTTGGAGATCTTTAAAACCCGCTTGGATGCAGCCCTGTGCCACGTGCTCTAGGTGACCCTGCGTGAGCAGGGGGGTTGGACTAGATGAGCTCTGAGGTCCCTTCCAACCTTAAGCATTCTATGATTCTATGATCTTAGAAAGTTTATTTTTTAAAGATTTTGCTTTTCTAACTGATGTTTTCTGATCATAAGGCAAAAGTTTAGTTATTCTAAATAAGAATGCTATCTCAACTTAAGAGCCAAGAATTGTGAATACTTTTCATATTGTCAAACAACTGATAAATATTATCTTTTAGTAGCTTTAAAAGTAATATAACTTACTTGTGGGTTTTGTAGAAAATTAGTTTTTATGGATTCAATTATAAGATCACTGTCACATAAGATGGACAACCCTTTTCCTCTGACTACCTCTACTTCATTAGTGTTCCCCTCAGGACCAGGTAATAGGAACCCTCTTACTACTGTCTAGGCAGGAAACCTGCAAACTAAGTTAATGATTAATAGTGGTATTGTGGGGCTCTATCTTGTGTAGTAGTGAACCTAGTGCTTTGAGACTCCTTAAGCATTTCCGCTACTTTTGCTGAAAATGGATTACTTAGCATCTGCATAAACTAAGAAATTTCACTTTTGAGGGTGAATTGTTTAGAACAAAGTTGAAAACTATTACAGAAAGCTTGCACTTCAGTCTTAGGCACCCTGAAGAACTTTATACTGCTTGTGGAACGGAGCAGGTAGGATGCTGATGTCAGACTGATGTTTACAAAATAAGGTACAGATGTGCAGTGTGAAATAGAAAACACTCATGGCTACATCATGGGGTTTCTTACTTGTCTGTCTTTATTCATAAAAATAATATTTTTTACTGGAACCACGTTATCCTTTTGGAGCCTTTGGGCTAGGACATCTCACTAAACCTTGGCTGGTGATTGTCATTAATCTCTCCTGCCTTGGCAGGTGATTGTGATAGGCTTTTTACAGTGGACATTCATAAGACAGACTATGTCCATCAGGATGTGCACTGTGACAGTTCAGAGAGTCTGAGTACAGAGCTAGCTCCATCTCTCCTCTGATATAAACTGCCATGGTTCCACTTAGCTCCACTGAGGAGCTTATTTGAAGATCCAGGGCATTATCCAAAAGCTCAATCTTTTACTGTTTTTCAGAAAAGCTAATACCCTATCCAGTGTGAAATGGTAGCTTATGAAAAATGCCACTGTTTCAAAAAAACTGTATCTGATCTATATCTGATATAGATATATCTATATATCTATAGATGATACTGTTTTCCCTAAATTGGCAAAATACAGGAAGAAAAACAGATGCATTTCATTTTTATTAGTATCCTCAACAATATGGAGTTTTTTGACCCTCACTGGTTTGCAGAAATTGCGTGAGCTCTGAAAGGCAATGAGTTTAGTGGTGAATAGCTTTTCATTTGTGTGCTGCTTAGCTCCTTAAAATGAATAAGGAAAGCATTAGACAGCACTATCCCTGTTAACACTATTGCACTACGAAGACATCAGCTCATCTCCTACAAAGTAGTCACAGCAAGGTTGGAATTACTACAACATCAGATGGGACAGCAATATCTGTGATGTATATGTCCAGTTGTGAAGTACTTCATGACGACTTAAAGAGCAGACCAGAAACTCAGCAGATCTTGGGTGCTGCTTTCTGAGGCCTTGTGGTATTTCCTAATGTACAGAATTTTTCAGGTGGAAGATTAAAAAACTGTCAAGTTTAGCTTCGGTTTAACATGGGAGCTGTTTAATATCATTTGTGAAAATTCGTTTCCCTTAATTGCAGATGTGATAAATCAGTACTACCTACAACAGTTGTTTACACATATGGATAATTATTCTGTTTTTATCTTGTGTTGGAGCCTTGTAAGAAAAAAAGTTAGTACTGGCTGATAAGCAGCCATCTGTGATCAGTAATGAGTACTAAGAAAGATAAGCTGATGTTTTAATGGCACAGCAAGGAAAACAGCTGCTGAGCACTTGCAGGTACACCTATTCTTGATTGCATATGAAAAAACTCTTGTTAAATTACTGTATTTTAGAAGGTAACAGCTTTCTGTACTTGTGCAGTTAAAAATTACTTGCAGATTCTTAAACTTATATGAGAATGTGCTGTTTTTAGCCACTTTCTGGCTGCAGTTCTCCATTTGGCCTGCAGTTCAGTGGCAAAATGTGGAAATAATTGCATGTGTGGTAAAATACTGTGTGAGTATTTGTTGCTAGTGGGAGATTTCCAATGGGGGGATGTTAATGCAGTGTTCAATTCAAAATACAAATAAAAACGGCAAGTTCTGTACAATTTGAGATTTGTCTGTGTGAGCAGGTAATTAGTGACTAAGCTGCTGTAGCAGGCATGTAGCATTTAATGCAAATGCAAAGCTGTACCAGGAAAAGATGCAATGCGCTCATAGCTCTGAAAAAATCTGTCTGCCAGTGAATATTGGATTTGCCATCTGGCTTCTGTGCTGTGGAAGCCTTTGCAAACCCTCAAATTGATGCTGTCTGGGCTTGTGCAGGATTCTGTGCACCAGATGGCACTTTGGCTGCACTTGATGCCCAAGCCATGGCCACAAATTGCTGTGCACTTCATCTATGTTGTATAAATATTTTTCAATTAAGATAACCCTAATTTACCTTAAGGTTTGTTATTTCTTGAAAGGTAGAAGTTCTTCTGTCATGCAAAATGAATAAATGTGTTTATGAACTTTTGGAAGAGCTGACATGAAGAAAGATAAGGTAAAAGCAAATGAAAAATGAAGCCCAGAACCAGTATATTGTGGATTTCATATGGAAGTTATTAATAAAAAAAAGTAGTAGGTAGTATTTTCAATACAAATAAATTTGATTTAGATGCCCTTGTCTCTAATTGTAGTGAGTTATTTCAAAGTTGATACGGTTTAAACTAGAGGTAAGGAATATAAGCACCAGCAGAAAGAAACAGATAAACTCAGGGAAACACTTTCAAGTTGCTTTCTATTGCGATTTCTCTTTAAGTAGAAAAACTATGTTCTTAAATGGACTATTGAGATTTATACTAAATGACAGGTGCCAGCAGTAGTGGTTAGATAGATAATCACCTGTTTGTACATGTGAATCCTGTCAACATAATACAGATTTGTAATCAAAGTAAAATGAGCATAGGAACATATTTTAAGGACTGTTTGCACAGTGCATCTACATCAGATGTCTTATTTCTGTCTGCCATGGTGTTTTAGGTCTCTAGTGAGTATTGTAGCATAATTTTGATCCAATAAAACCAGGTTCCTTTTATCAGAAATATCTTCAGGATGGCTGTTGAAGGCTGTAGAAAAAAGATGCCAAGTAAGCATAGAAAATGCATCTCATATTTGTGGATAATGAGATTTGAAGTTTCCATCCCTGTAGATATTCTTTAAAACTTGTGTTTGTAACTTTCAGAGAAACAAGCTTGTTGAACTCTGCCTGTTAAGAACCCCAGTCTATTCTGTAGAGGTACACATCCAATGTACAAGTATTTTTACCAAGTGGCTTGTGTGGGGATGATGAGCTCATGTCTCCTCTCCCATATAGAAGTAAGGTGGGGTTAGCAGTAAGAAAGTGCTCCATTTGCCTCTCTGCTGCAATTGCCAGAGGTGTAGTCAGGGTAAAAGCAGTGCTGTGACTTCTGTCTGACTTATTCTGTCTGTGACTTCTCTTAGTGTTAGTGTTTAAGGTGCACATTCATCTTAAAGCAACTCTTCCTATAAACTCATTTGTTATCTTATCCAATATATTCTGCCTCCCATGTGTCCTTCTAAATTTCTTATTAAAAGCTCAGCAAAGTTTTTTGTCATACTTTTCCAGTCTTATTGCTCTCCCCTTTTTCATTATGTTTCTCAGGAACACTAAAATTTCTATATCTTTTTTCATCATCTCCATCTAAGATCACTTAGGCTAATGTTATCTAAGCTATACTTTTGAATCCTGTCTGAATCTCAAAATTAGGCAGAACTTGTTTGCCTGATTCTCAGCAGGTGGTAATGGGATCTATTTTAATAATCTTTGATTTAAAAAATAAGCTGCAAATCACTTCCTAAGGTGATTATCTGTCATTGCCATGCTAGTTCAGAAATGGTATCACTTTCTCTGTGAAATGCTTCTGAGGGAACAGCTTCTGAGGAGGATTTAGAGTATGCTGAGTAAATGCTGACTAAAACCACTTGCTTTGGTTGGTAAAAGACGGTCTTTAGGAAGTAATGGTTCTCTTATTAATTTGAGTAATTGAAATGAAGCAAATCATGAAGTCTTACCTGTTATCCCTCAAACAACCAGAGCTTCAAGGTATTTCTTTTTATAAGAGAGTTCTTATGCACCTCTGGATATAGCACCATTGTGGAAGCAGCTCTGCACATCACCTCAAATGTTAATCTAAAACTTGCAGTGGGTATTATCTCTTAAATGGAGATGCCTTAAATTTCAATTTGAATTTTAAGTCTAGAAAGACATTGATTTATGAGTGAAATCTGCTTATTATCTAATTTTAGTTTTTTAAAAAACAATTTTCTTCTGCTGTTAGTTATAGCTGCAAGTTTGTGATGTTTCAGACAGGTAAATAATTCTTAAATTTTATATGTGTAATAGAACAGAATATAGCTGTACAAGCTATATAGTACAAGTATTCACAAGTATATTAAACATGACAAAACTCTTTTTCACTTCCAGTCTCCTTTTCAAATACCACGTCATTAGATGTTCTCCTCAGTGTTGTCAGCAGGCGGAGGGAGGGGATCCTGCCCCTCTCCTCAGCTCTGGTGAGGGTGCAGTTCTGGGCTCCCCAGCACAAGAGGGACATGTAGCTTCCAGAGGGGGTCCAATGTAGAGTAACAAAGATGATTAAGGGACTGGACCATCTATTGCATGAGGAAAGACTAAGTGAGCTAGGCCTGTTTAGCCTGGAGAAGAGAAGAAAGGGAATTTGATCAATATGAATAAAACACCTGAGGGGAGAATGTAGGGAGGATGGGGCCAAGCTCTTTTCAGCAGTGGCCAGTGACAGGACAAGGGGCAATAAGTGTAAGTTGAAACACAGGCAGTTCCATCTCCAGGTGAGGAAGAACTTCTTCACTGTGAGGGTGACAGAGCCCTGGCACAGGCTGCCCAGGGAGGCTGTAGAGTCTCCTTCTCTGGAGATCTTCCAAACCCGCCTGGATGCTGCTCTGTGCCCTGTGCTCTGGGTGTCCCTGCTTGAGTAAAGAAGAGAGGGGTTGGACTAGGTTTCTGGGGGTCCCTTCAAATCTCAACCATTTTGTGATTCTTACTCAGACCAAATGCCATTCGTGTGGAAACAGAAATATAAATTATGGGAAGATCTTAATTTAAGAAGATAACATTAAAAAGCTTTTTCAAATGCCAGAAGATAGACCAAATATCCAACACACCACCAATAGAATGATTAAGTTCCACACTAGGGAGAGCAAAAAAAAAAAAACCACATTCTTTATTCACTTTGAAGAAGAGTAAATGATAATGAAGTTGTATATCAATCACTTCTCATGGGGAAAATCTATTTTTAATATTTAGTTATGAATTATGATCTTAACCCATGTACTTCAATTTTAATAAATGTGTACTTTAGAATATATTGGAATATTTCTCATACTTCCATTTCTTAGCAATGAAACTATCTTGCAGATGCTTCTTTTCTTTTTTTCCCTAACTTACCTTCTCTATTTCAAAGTGCAAGCAACATAATAAGCGATAATGAACAACTCTTGTCTTTGCAGAATGGCAGCCATGCTGAACGTGTCTGAGCAATCTCAGGAGGAAAGCAGAACTGGGGTAATCTAAACAGACAGCAGGAAAAGCACAGTACTGTCACATTGCTGAAGGTCAGTCAGTCTAGCACTTGATGCTGTGTGAACTTCGAGGTGTTTTTGTTTGGGTAGGGTGTGCATTGGGATTAATAGACTTGAGTATCCCAGTTGGTGAGGAGACCCCTCTGTTGGCTTCTAGACTGCTTTGTAGCTCAGTGTCCCCATGAAGCCCAAACCAGATCTCTGCTACAGTTTGGGTCATGTGAGGGTGAGAGTGCACAAGCAGATGAAAAGAGATGGAAGGTCATAAGGAAGCAGATTTTTTCTGAAATCCTCCACCCCAACCTACAAGAGCTTTTCGCTGAGCGGCTCAGCTCACCCAGTGCTAGGGTATGAAGGCAAACTGCCTCTCTTCCTCAGTAACACTCCTCAGCACAGGAAGAGATGACAAAGCAATAACACAGCCGTGAAAGATGAGGCCTGCGCAGAGCACAAAGCAGGTGAGGGGATGGAGACTGTTTGCTGTGAGGTGTGGGCTTGTTTGGCCACCAGCCCTTCCTGCCCTGGGGTGGCCTGGGGCTGCTGGCAGGCAGAGCAGGATTCTCCCGGGCCTGCCCTGAGCTGGGGCTGGCACGAGCACCCTGTGCAGCCACCGGCTGCAGCAGTGTCCTCCTGCACGGCCCCAGGACCAGGGGCTCACATCAGCTGCTGTGCCAGCCCAGCCAGCGAGGCTGCTTGTGTGCTGCTGGAGAGCTGGGGAAAGGCAGAAAGCAACTGTGCTTTCGCTCTAACCTATGGGTATAGAAGACACTCAGCCATTTCTCCTGTTGTTGTTATAGAAGACAGTCATTTCTCCTGCTTTCCTCTTGAATTCACTCCTGATGTGGGGACAATCAGGAGCCAGGGAAGACAGGAGCCAGTGTCTTGCCTAATGTAATGGCCATGAAGGCCTAGTTCATAGCGATGCTCCCTTCCCTCACCAGCTGTGCTTTGTTTGGCTTGATGCAGTTGCAGGGCGGTGGGCAGAGGGGCAGTGTGAGGAGCAGCAGCAGATGGCTTGGAGGTAGGATGCTCATCTCGAATCAGCTCATCAGCAGCCCTGAAGCAATGCCAAGAAGTGGAAGAACAGGAAAAGGAAGGGAAGTAAACTCAGGAACCTGTGCCCAAAAGGCACCTCCCAGCTGCAAAGAGAGGCAGAAGGTGAGTGGCCCCAGCAGCTCCTGATAAGCTAGAAATGTTTTGGAAAGTGGAAGAAATGGGGAAAAAAGTGACAAGCTCATAGTATCAAATAGGCAAATGAATAAACTAGCAATGGCAGCTAAGCATATGGGTCCTTGTACTGAGCAGAACTTTGAGGTTGGTTTAAAAAAAAAACAAAAAAGAAAACCTACAGCTCTGGAGTATCAGAGATAATAACTACTGGAACTCCAGGGCTGCCATAAAAATATTATTACTCTAGGACTAATGGAAGGGAGCAAGAGCAAATGGCCCATGGTGCAACTTGAAACATGGGCCCACAAAGTCTGGAATATGGCTGCCAAGTAAAATTGCAGTTCAAGGGATATATCAAGAACTTCATTAGAATAAATGCAACCAGAGGGCAGTTGCACAGCTACAGAAACCCCTTTTGATTCTCAACGCAGCCAGAACATTAGAAAGGATAAGTATGGAAGATACTGATTATTCTTTTGTTTAGGTAACTTGATAGGCAGTTATAAGAAAAAGGTTGAATTTACAGACAACACAAGCACTAAAAGTCTCAGTAGAAATGAAGAATCAAGGGTGTTTTTTAAACTTCAGATATTTTTCTATGTCTGGAGAAATAGATTAAAAATATGGCCCTGTGGCAAAGTTGGCAACCTATATAAGACCAAATTTATATTTTGCAAAAGCAGAATAACATGACTAATAAAAGCAGCCTTGCTCTAAAAAGTTCAGTGTGTGACAATAGCAGTAAAAAATACAGACACCAATTTTACAAGTGGGCTGGAAAAAGCTTTATGAATTAAATGTGGGGAAAAGCTGTGTGCAAGTTATAGTGCTAGGAAACCTTGGTTAGCTTGGATTCAGGATCTTTCCTGGGTGGGAGGGCTAGTTTGGGGAGGAGAGGAAAAAAGAAAAAGAGCAGCTAAGTGTTTTGCTAAATGTGAAGGTATTTGCGAAAATATATATACAAAATATATAAACAAGATGCACCGCAAAGTATACTGTGATCATACTGTCCAGGTTAATATGCAGCTTGTAGCCAAAGAAGGGATAAACAGGCACTTTAAAATTGTGCAAGAAGCTGAACCAGATGCACATTACAGATTCCTATAATTATGCCTCAGACCGATCTTCCAGCATTCCAGCAATGTCCAAGTATTGCTTATTACTTAAAGAGCACTACTCGTGTGGATTTACATAAAAGCATAACAAAAGATCAAGCAAAAAGAGATGGAGACTGAAAAATGAGCTATTTGCATTCTGTGCCAGATATCATATGGTAAATGGAGGAATTTCTTCATGAAAGGACAACCTGTATAACACATACATGGACCACATAAAATCGAAACAGGAAGAATGATAACAGGCATCTAAGCAGCTTGCTTCTATTACATATCCGTTGGAAAAGAAAGGAACCAAAAAAAGCTATTTGCATGGCAAAATATAATTAAAGAAACTTGACATTTTGATGACTGAAATAACAACAAAAAAGGCAGCATGATTCAGATTATATAAATATAGGCTGTGAACAATTTTGAAATCAGTGGTGTTCTTTCCCGCTCTTCCTGATTCAGGTTTTAGGATGCAAAAAGGAAGAGACTGAGAGTTCTCAAATCTTTCATTAAAATTTGATCATTGTGTCATAGGACTACAAGGCCATTTGTGGAATCAGGAGGCAGTTTGAAATGTGAGTAACACTAAGAACAACCTATAAAGCTTATTTTAAGATACTGAGAGGTTATAGAACAAGAAGAATGTTTGGAGGGGACTAATTTAGAGGGTATTAATAAGAAATTTGGGGGAGGGGAAAAATAGTCTAACTTTGTTCAATGGTAGTAAAAGAGGTGAAGTTTATTGATTGCACAATGACTAAATTGTTCAGATATCATGATAATTGGAACTACTATATCATCTTTGTACTTGTTACTAGATTGCACCCCATGTAACTAGCGCTATAATTAAAAGATAAGGTGGTGAGGGGACAGTACTTGGAAGATGAGATGCCTAGATGAACTCGGTAAGTGTAGTTCTAAAATGTCCTATTTTTCACCATTTCTAATGCTAAAATAAGCCCTATCCTGGTTCTACGAGGATTTTCACCTCAGTGTTCATGGTGCTTGCAAAGGGAGGAAGTAAGCCTGAACTTTGTACCTGGAGAGATGTATATATTATGGAGACAGATCCCAGCTTGCATGTTGAATTTTGCCCTGGAAGCTAGGCAAAGGTTTAATACTGGGCCCTTTGGAAAGTTCTCTGAGACCATGGAAAGAGCAAGGAGATGCAGCTAGCTCAAGGACGAGAAGAGATATTGAAGAAAATACAAACTTCCGAAGAAAAGCATGAGTACTGGAGCACTTCAATACTTGCTCATTTCTCAAGCTGACTATTAACTTGGAAGTTTGTAATAAGATAAGCTCCTTTGGTCAATCAGCAAAGATAACTTTAAAGTTCACTCTGACTGGCAGTTGTAAAATGTCAGAGCTGGGGGTTTTACAAGTAGAAAAGAACAATTGTTGGATATGTTATGGCAAAATACTTGTCCTAGCAGCAAATAAAGGTTAAAGTATAGAGCATACAACAGTTAGTGTTAACAAACATGGATGACTCTAAAAGCAGAGGTATTTAAAGACATAAACAATTCTTATAAATATTTGTTCATCTTATAAAAACAGCATGGACTATGAAACAGGAAGAATGATGTTGCAAGGTGGGTAGGGGAACACGTTAGAAATGTTATATTAAGATGTAGATAAATTAACTTTGATATGTCAGCTTGGGAAACTCTGAATATCTTGGACCTAAGTTCAGAATAAAACTTTAAAGCTTTACAAATTGCTGTAGGTACTAACAGTATCTTAATAGCTTCATAGTAACTTAGCATCAGTATTTTTTTCAGTTTAAATTAGACTGATTAGTATAATGATATATATCAAAAGAGCAGCTACAGTTCAGGGAAGATTGATAGTTGTTTTCCTCAAAAAATGTTCTTTCATTTTTGACACTTATAATTGATATGTTGGAAGAGAAAAAACCCACATTGTTATAAGTCTCCTCAGTCTCTTGTTTGAGAAACTGAATCATTCCTTGTTTTGTTTTAACTTACAAAACGTTACTGTTAATGGTAAAGTGTGAAGAAACTTTTCCAGATATCCTTTATCCTTTTTTTTTATTATGAGGCCTAGAGGGTTATTTGTGTGCTTTGAGAAGAGTAATTTCTAGTCTTACAGGTGTTGCGTGCCTATTCTTGTTAAATGTTGAGATTTTCATTTGAATGCTTGAAGTCTTGCTGTGCTTATACTGCCAGGTTCAGATGCAACTTCAATAAATTAATATAGCTCAATCTGATGTGCAGAATGACTCATGTTATTACAGAACTGTTTATGGTGAGTTGACTTGAATTAATGCTGGAATAATCCCACTCTACTGCTGCAGTGTTGCCACGCATTGCCCCCTGGTCCCAGTTCTCCATCACCCCTAGGATAATGAGTTACTGCAGCTAAACAGCCTAAGCTACGTTGACCTTTTTCTTTTAAAAGCAATTTCTCTTTTCTGTTGAATAAAATGGTCATGAATGAGATGATTTTGGAAATTATGAAGACACAAGTGTAACTTAAGGGAAGATTACGCTGAATGTTTTTTTGGGGGGGTGGGGAGAGGAAATGCCTGCATGCATGCTCTTTGGATCTCCTCAACACTGAGCCATAAAATGCACCAAAAGCTAGCCTGAAAATTCTCATCTTGGCAGAACAGCCTGGCTTTCTCTTGAGGAGCTTCTATGTAGTACTGCACCTGGGAGATTGGCTGCTGTGGTGAATATATGCAGATAACAAATTTCTTGGTGTTTACTACTTTTCCTATAGGAAAATGTGAGCATTAGTGAAAATAAGTCCATTAAATAGCTACTGAGTTGAGTGCATGTTGATACCCTGGTGAGTAGGCAGGTATTCTATTAAGAAGGGCTGTCTTTTTCTATACATATTGGCTATCTGAGAAGAATATTCACTTTTCTAATGTTTTAGTAGAAATCTTGCTGTTTATTTTACTGCTGTTTCAGTCTAATATGGAAACAAATAAAACAAAGCAAAGCACACATTGCAATGTTGCTTTAGATGGGCTTTACCGCCCTCCCAATATAGATACAGAACCAAATTCATCTTTTTATTCCTTTGATTCTGTTCTCTGTGTAAATCCATTAGTCACAAGAAAGGAAACCTTTTAAGAGCTTCCATTTCAGCACATATTTCATCTTGAAGATGTCATTTCACCAATTTAGACACAAGTGTTTTTTCTTCAAACTTTGATCCATTAAGACTTGCTATCTGGTGCCCTTGCTTTTAGGTGTTTAATAACTTGTCCTGCCTTTCAGAGCTCAAACTACATACACAGATTAATAAATCCATGGTTACTTCCTCCCCTTCACTTCCTTTCAATTCTTTGGAGAGAGTGGTGGGTGTGGGAGACAAGTGGATGACTGGACTAAGTAGGTTTGGCTTTTTGTCTTCCTGAAATGTCACGTAGGCGATAAGACTTCTGAGAGATAAAGGAGTTACTGGAGATTGTCTGTAGTTTCTCCAATTATTGTAGATTGAATTCCAAAGACCCTGATAATTTGAAGATGTTGTTTTATTTTATTACTTTCTTCCTGCTCTGTCCAGCCAAAGTCATATTGTCAAATGCCTGGCTGCAATCTTTGTGGGGGGAAGCTGAAGCAGAATCTAAAGGGTCTGAATTGTGGGTTGGTGCAAGGGGAGTGATGCTTGAAAGGAGACCTCACTGAGCAATGGGCACCTAGGCTAAAGATATACCATGTACTATGCAAGAAATATTTATTTTT